TCCCACTCCTACTCCTACTCCTCCTACTCCTACTCCTACTCCTACTCCTACTCCTACTCCTACTCCTACTCCTACTCCTACTACTACTTCTTCTTCTTGTTCTTCTTCTTACTCCTCCTCCTCCTCCTGCTGCTGCTGCTGCTGCTGCTGCTGCCGCTGCCACTCACTGCCACTGCTACTCGTACTCCAACTCCTATTTAATGTCCCGACTTTTTAGCCATACTCCTACTCCTGTGCCTACTACGAGTATTGGCAGACTTTTTGTTCTGGGCCGTGATGACGAAGACAACAGATCCTGGAATTTTCCGTTGAGTCCCAACAGACACGACCCGCGACTGCGTCCCTGCGCGCCTCGTCCCGATGCAGCTGGCCTTCAGCTGTTGAATCTGAAAAGTGGGTTTGGTTCGCGCGAACCGAAAGAGCCTGAACCGAAATCACAGCAGCATTCCCTCCCTCGAATGCTGTTTTCCGCTTGACAAGCCGCACTTTGAATGCCCCCAGGTCCCCAGCGGCAACGGTTCTCGAACTCTTCACGCTGCGCAGGATTGGCGGAAGGCTGCGCTCCCGGCATCAGCTCCTCAGGGTCCAAGCAAGGGCGACCCGAGATCTCGAGATCACTTAAGGGCCGCTGTACTTCGGCGCTCCGGCAGGTCGAAGAGGTTGACAAAAGGCGCCCGGCTCCGTTGCGAGGCCTCAAACATGTGTGTTGTGTTGTGTCTTTTTGGGTTGCATTGTGTTGTGTTGGGTTGTGCTGTGTGGGTGTGGGATGTTCGTGTACGTGCGCATTCTGCGTGTGTCCAATCCTGCTTCGAAGGGATAGGCTCGTGCATTGCATCTAAGTTAGCACTTGCGGGGTGGTACGGCCATTTTTAAGTTGATGTTCCGAAAGGAAGTTCGATTCCATGCATCGACTTGATCTCACCTGTGCCTCTGTGTACGAAGATGCATATGCACGACTATGTGCCTCTCTCTGTGTTTGTGTTGTGTATTGGTATTTTTATGGTACAGACGTGGACGTCGCCTCCCACAGGAAATTCTGAAGGCTTAGAAGACTCAGTCTGATGACCGGAAGGGCCTTCGTCGTTGAAGCAGCCGCCATATTGACCAAGAGGCTTGGAAGCCTGAGCGACCACAAAGCCAAAAATGTTGAAATGAAAATCACTGATAGATGGCAATCCATGAAACGGCCTCTTGTACATAGTGTTGCGGAAATTTGGGATGCGCTTATCATTTCTTCGACGACGATTGATGCTGCATAGATGCTGCAGTGCTGCATGCTGACACAGTGAAGCCAATCTTCGAAAGATAGTCAGGGCTCAGGGTCTAGGGTGAATGGTGCTAGGCTTTCTCGCTCAGTGAGCTACTGGTAGTGTCTGAGGGATAATCTCAGGCAAAACATCACAACGTCGAATGATTCTTCCATGAAAACCTTGTTGTTCGGCAGCTGGTGCTCCGCGACACTACATGAAAACTGGGGGCGTGGCGGTCTCAGTGTAGGAACTGTGAGACAGAATTAGATGGTCCAAACGAGATCTCTGGCCAATGCAATGTCTGTAGCAACAGACTGAGAGTCAAGTTAAGGGTAGGGGTGACCACTCGATGAGATCTCGCTGGGCCAGGCGCAGTTCTGCGCCAAAATACTAGGCTTTTGGCTGAGTAGAACCGACCGGCGCATGAGCTTACGCGACCAAGCATCCGACATCAACGGACATTTCAGACAAGCACCCGCAGTAATCTAGAAGAGCCTCAAGCCACAGATGCAGATTGAAGTGAAGACTGAAATTGAATTCACTGCTCCGAAGCCTGTATTGGTATCGGTATCGTCTGACAAGCGGCTCATGCAGGACCTCGCCTCGGAGTCTGACCGCTTCACCGCATCAATGAGCTTCTGCCCGTCCTGTCACCAAAGATTCCTCAGGCGGCTGAAGGCCTGATTCCCGATGAAAGTTTCTCAACGAATGCCCGGAGACTGACGTCAGCATGAGAAACCGCCGCTTTGGCCATGGATTGAACTGTCAGACCCCCTCTAATCGTAGTCCGAAGCTTGATCCAACCACTGTCGGAACCGTGCTGCTAGGCCAAAACATCTTTTTCCGACATGTGTGCACTTGCACGGGGTTCTACCTGGCGGCAGAAGGCCACAAGCTTGTAAGACTATGGTTTAGGGTGCAGCTCTGTTAGCCGCAGCCCTAGCAAACCTCCAAAGGGTCTGAAGGCATAGGTTCAGGCTTTGGAACCTTGCCCGGGAGAGGGACAAAGACCACGACAAGCTTCCGTGCGCTATGTAGCATATGTATATACACGCCAGACATTCGTTCGTTGCTTCATTCATTCGCTCGTTCATGACATACCGATGCGTGTAGCATACATACACTAAGGCAAGACATACACACACACACACACACACGCAAGCAAGGAAGCAAGCAAGCAAGCAAGCAAGCAAGCAAGCAAGCAAGCAGGCAAGCAAGCAAGCAAGCAAACGCGTGCGCGTGCTCAAGCTTCCGCGCAGCAAACGGTCTTGGAAAATCCTGGCAGATCCTACTGTGGTATGAGGATGTACATAAATAGACTGCCCTCAGCCCTGAAGCGCCGGGCCCAACCCTCACAGCTCAGAGAACCTAAGGTGGGCTCTGCAGGGCTGACTGGAGATGGCAACGATGCATCTGCACACAAACTGCAAGGAAGCTGGAAGCACCAAGGACCAACGTCTCAGAGCAGCTGCAAAGAAGGCAACTGCCGAACACTGCCGTGATTGACAAGCCGGGCCCCTGACTACACCTCTCCCACGTCTAGCAACGGAGCCTGCCGGTCACAGTTGACCCATTGGAGTCTTGCACCAAACAACCACCAAACTAGCAGCACGAGCTCATGCCAGTCGGCATGTTGCACTCGCCACTAGCACTAGATTGGCGGCTATGCGTCTCTCATCCAAACCCTATATTATATGCCTGCCGTGATCTCCGGGCATAGGCCGAATGGAGGTCCTGGACATCCGAGCGTCACAAGTTGATCAACGTTCATCTGACACTCTAGCGAACAGCGCCAAGCAGATTCAGTCAAGCAGACAGCACGGTCTACTTTAACTACTACTCAAACACCCGACGCGACGATAGTGACACGTACTAGTACACATTGGAATATGTAGAGTCACACAAGTTTTTGCACCTATAAGTACTGAGCATACTGAGCATATACCTGCAGACAGACAGACAGACAGTCAACGCACACGAGGAGATCATGCGAACAAACACCTTGCGCAGAGAACGGTACCAACAACCGCTCATGACCTCTGGGCGAGATATTCTTCCAATATGTGGTCTGTCATGCAGCATAAGGCCTGATTCTACCTACGGAGCCAGTCAACGGTGCCCCGATCTGATTCTGCGGACACGACTGGCATGAGCAACTGGAAGGCACCAACACAGCGATTCTGATTTCGTGCGCTGCTTTCTGTAATGAAGAGTTGCGAGCAAGGTGCCAGGCGACACAGTGGACATCGAAGTTTTCGGCCGACCCACTCCAGCAGACACTCCTTCACTGGCGAGCCGCCCGCAGGCGCAAACATGAAGCTCAGAATCTGCGCCCATCTGAGACAGCATAAGCTTTCAAGGGCTCCGAAGCAACAGGCTTTGCTCACCTCTGGCACTGCCTTAAGAAAGCCCCGAGACGGGTCCTCGTGGAAACGGTGGGAACAAGGGAGCTCTCCTTAGCCGTGCTGATCCGGCACATCTCAAAATCGCAACTCGACTTGGCAACCTTGACATGCTTGGGCCAACAGAGACCGGAGCAAAAACACGCAGCGAGCAGCACGACGTTTCGCTACATGATCAGATGAGAGGCTTTGGGCTTTGGGCTTCGACTTCTGTCGACTCCTTTGAGGCCCGCAGGCTGGTTTCTTCTCTCTATAAGACCCGATCTCTGTCGGAACACCTACTCCGAGGCACAGGAAGGACTTTCGAATCCTTTATCCCCCGCATGCTGGGGTGGCGAAATTCACATTTTCCTGATACGACTTGTCAGTTGTTCTTATTCCTGTCATTTTGCTGTGACTGTCGCAACTGCCACTGCTGTTCCGTCATTTTCTGTGCTCCTGCAGCTTGCTGCTGTGACTGCTAATCCTGTTATGCTGTTGTTCGTGCTTTTATGTTCATTATGGCACTTGTACTGCAGGTACCCTTACATTTGTAGTACTCATGCTGCTGCAGATGGCAACTTGCCCCAATCACAGCCATTCCTACTGCCATAACCAAGCCTGGATGCGCCATGTCCCCAGCAGCGCACCGTCACTGCCAAGACAAATTGCACATTCCTGGCGCCAAGTCACACCAGGCTATCAGCAGGAAAGGATTCAACACTACGAGTACGGGCACCAGGAATTTCTGACCTGCATACCTAACAGGAACTGGCATTAGAGCATTATAGGTACACAGGGTATACATAGCACATCTGGTTTCGGTAGATTATGTATTTCTTTGCTTACAGATAAGCATCCCCGCAGATATTTGCAGATATGCAACAACTTTGTGATCTGGTGCGTAAGATGGGTATCCGGGCAGATAGATGCACAGTGCGGATTCCCGCACCTGCACTCACCTGAGGCCTGAGAGCCCTTACAGCACGTCACTGAGTTGTTCTGCACATCCATCGCAAAGCAGTCCCAATCCAAAACTTACCCTTTCAACGGAGCTTGCCGAGGATAAGGACGTCCCCACTGTCACTATCCCGAAGTCAGAGTAGCAAGGCTTTGGAGGCAAGAGGCGGTTTCAGGGGAGACCTCAGGGGGCTGGTCCTCTCTGATGGCCTCGATCACCTCAAGAGATGGACATGGGTTTCAGGGTTCAGGGTTTAGGGCTTGACAGGGTGTAGGCCAGTGGGAGACAAGTGGTGAAGACTGCGTCTCTGAGGCATCCAGGCAGGCCGGTAACCAAGCAAACTACAGTACGAGACTGCCTTCTGTGTCGAGGGTCTCCGGTCTTTACTTTGCACTTGTCTTCTCTGACAACGGAATGCTCGTATCAGTTATCATAGACAGCTCCTAGGCAGGCCTCTGTCACAGCAGACCCAGAGGCGCCCCAGCGCGCGTCGATGGCGCGGATCGCAGGAAAGATCGTGGCAGCACAGAGGCCCGCAATGATCAGCAACTTACAGGAAAAAGGGAAAAAGGGGGTCTGCGCAAGAAGCATAAGCACGGGATCCTGCGGCTGCCCAGGCTGAGCCAAGGTGCTCCAACCAGACACACCAGGCCTTTTGCCCCAACTTCGTCCACAAACTGCCAGAGGGAAGGTGCCTCAGCGGGTAGCTCTAGCGAGATCGTGTCTAGTGGAGCTTGCGATCTTCTGGACCGCCCCGCATACCACAAGCTTGCGAGACTGCACGTTGGCCTCGTTTTTGCAGCTGGCGGGCGTCAGTGCACCTGTCGATGCTTTCTCTAAACTTGACTTTGTCGAGGTGCCCTGGCTGCTCGCGCTCTTACTGATACACTTGCTTGCAGCTGCTTGCAGTCTTGTACATCATGGCGCTGCCAAGGGACGAACCAAGGTGCCTGTGGCCATTGCTAGAACGCCCAGCGGCAGTGCCAAGGCCATGGAGGTGGTCAGAGGCAGCAACGTGGAGGCCTCAAAGAGCTGCCGTGCTCCACTAGTTTCGCTGTAAGGGCGTTTAGGTTGCGGGTGGACCATGTTGATGTTTGCAGCTTGGCCGTCCCGGGATTTAGGGTCAGGTGGAAGGCTCTCCATCTGCTCTGCCTGGATGGGTTGGATGCATGGTGCGGACCCGACGACTTGTCCTGAAACCGGTGAAGAAACGACGATGTTGTCACATCGGGGTTGATGCAAAGTTCCTCTGCGGAAGACCGAAAGAAACAGTAGAAATTTGTATCTGCTCTTCGACTTACCACAATAACTCGAAGATCACAACACGGAGAATGACTTGAGGAAGTCCATGGCTGTTATGTAGCTGCGTCATACACATTTGTTCGTGCCATCATGCTTCGGATGATTTCTGCTGCAGGCGCAAGCACTTAGTGATACTCCTTCTACTTGTAACAGCTCTTGACTGTCACAAGCTACACCTGCTGTTCCCACGCTTGGGGCCAGCTAA